CTCCATACAGCGGACACAGGAATAGCACAGACTGCCATCGCCGTTATAAAATAAACCTGCTCCATTACCGCTTCATCCTGAAGAGGAAAAAACACAGCTCCAACGGAAACTGTCCAAGCAAATGACTAATGATTCAGAGCACAGAGGACACTGGGGGGCACTCAGTCAGCACAGCATATAGCTCCAACAAAACAACAATCCCGATTTCGTTTTTTTTCATGTTTTATAAAATTAAAGTAATTCTGTGGACCTTCAGATGTATAACCTGAAAATTTATAAAAATAGCGCAACTTAACGGCTGATGTCGACAGGCAAATCTTTGATATTTGTTGATCTCAAAAACATCAATATTTTGTGATAACTTTTGAGTATCAGATATTGGACTAAATTGATTTTTAGCATTGATGGCAAGTATATACAATGATTAGTTCTTGAGGTATCGTCAAAAACCAATTTAATGTTCTTTAAATCATATCCATACATCAAACCATCCCCAAAATTAAATCACTTCCAGAATTTTATATTGCCCACCTCGGTGTTAATGTTGGTCCCAATCGGCTAAGCAGTTTTTGAAATATTTTGTAAATACCCAGATAGACAGACAGATAAAAATTGCTCGCAGAGTGACGCTTGCAAAGCAAAATATTGGCCAAAATGTAGTTTTGACCTTTTGATGACCTTGACCTTGACATTTGACCTTCCAAAATGAAACTCCTTCCTTGGATACATGGCTTCTTGACAAAGGAATTTCAGGTTGATACGTCAAGAATTGTGGAAGCTAAAGTGCGCAAAGACACAAACAAACATGAAAGATCATTCACAGAACGATGACTTGTCGAAATTCCACCCACTTACGTCAGTGACGTCATCACGACCCCTAAGCTTGCGGACCGCATTGACTTGATGAGGAGAATGGCATTAGTTTGAAGTCTCTAGCTTGAATAGAAGCAAAGTTATTGGCCAAAATGTGTTTTTGATCTTTCTGATGACCTTGGCCTTAGCCTTGATGATAGGATCACACAACAGTATCGGCTCGTCGCTGATACTCTTTCAGACTCGATGACATAAAAACAAAGACGATCACTGCAAGATAAAGGGCAGATGAGGGCCTGACTACCAGATGAACAAACAAACTGACATGCTAACCGAACCAACTGACATACTAAATAACGAAAACTGGTACTTTCCCAAATAATACCAAACAAACAAACTAACCGATATGAGCGATTACATGAGCCCCTTCAAGCTTAGTAGGTGGGGCTAAAAGTATAATACTTAGGCTCCTTCCAATCTCAGCCAGGAAGCAACACAGACGTTAGAAACACTAGAGATAAGAATTTCAGTTACTCAGTAACAAACTTCTATAGTAAAACTGGCTGTTAAAAGCAGACCATTTCAGCTAAGAGAGTTTTGTAGAGCAAATGTCAAAAAATTTACTCAAACCTGATTGATATTTTCTCAAATGCTAGATATCCTCAGGTTCTTGATAAAGTGCTTCTCGGCTGTAGCCCCAACTCAACGCTGCGTGGCAGTTTTGTAAACACAGATTTGCTCGTCAGGACCGTGACGTACTCACGCGAGCGCACACAGTTTCCTAAATGACATCAAAGGAGCAGGCAGCGAGAATTCAGAGAATGTTGGAAGTAACTGTAATCTGCCAGAAGCAAGAGAACACAAAAACACACCCACTCTTCCGTCACGATTTGGGAGTTCCCGAGACACTTAACTACAGATATTAAAACTGTTGGTGTCTGCAAGCCCCATCTCATGACTTTCAGTACTATTGCAGCAACTTAATTGCCACCATCCCAAAACTGAGTTCAGCTAATCAAATTAAGGCGCTCCTATGATAAACGCACCAGGGTCAATGACAAATAAGCCTTTTAAAAATGTTTTATTTAAGAAATCCTTAAAAATGTACAGAATACATTTATTTGAAGTTGCAAGAGTGTGTTTAAACAAGGCTTAATGGTTGCACAACATTTACAGGGTTTTACTGCAGTTTTAGTATTTGCAATTTCACCGGCCAAAAAATGTCAGGTGGCGCAACCAAATGTTTCTTGGGAAAAAAAAAAAAACACACTTCCCTCATTTTTTTCTAAGTGATTTTTTTAGTAAGTATACCTGAGAGTGTCTACTCTGCCTAAAACATTACTATTTTGTAATTGGGCTGGGTATTAAAAGTAACTTATGGATTCTTTATTGTAGGGGGCGGGTATTTTGGTTTTCCAAACAATTTAAGAACAATTAAACTATTAAACTTTGTTTATTTGAAGGGTTTTCAATATAAAATTATGCCCCCATATAAATATTAATTCATATTTTAAATTACATATTTAATACATTTCACATAGTGTTCACTTGCTCGGACGGTTGCGCCACCTGACATTTTGAGGGTTTGTGATGGCAAAACATATATACAGGGTCTATCAAAAAGAAGTAGACTCTCCGAAAAGTACTTTTCGGAGAGTCTATTTTTTTTTTTTGATACACCCTGTATATCATTTTTATGATAAACTGGAAAAATGTTCAAATTAAACAGGTTTTATAGAATAAAATTATGCTTATTATGAATCTTTTAAAATTATTTTAAACCCAAGTAGTGCGCTCGGACACAAAAATCTGCATGTCACCATCATTGACCCACCAGTCTTGAAAGGGTCAACCACACCGGCTAAGAGGCAGCTCCTTATCTTCACAGGAAAGACACAGTTAGGCTCAGAATTAGAAGCTGAAAGAGCTTACCAGTCGTTAAAACTGCATAGCGCAGATGTAATTGAATGCCTGCAATAATTCCAAATAGCAAGTTTAATTATTTATTCATTATTCCACACTGAAAACAGTCTCCCAGTTATGAAAGTGCATATAACGGGAATGTTACCAAATGACCGTAAAGCATTACTCACAGATATTGATCCATTTCCTTCAACCAATAATTGTTCAGATACTGTGAGCCATAATTCAGTATGTCAACTAACCCAAAGTCATAAGTTGGTTTTTCATCCTCTCATTATCAACCAACCATTTTCTCAAACTGCTACAGGGAGATACATCAAGTGTAAAATTCAATTTGAAAGTTCAGTCTGAACTGAAAGAATTCAAGCCACTTCAGTGATTAAACAGCAAAATGCATGCAGGCTGGAACAGCATCCTTTGTTAGAAAAGATATTAGCACCTTGACACACTCCAGTGGAAAAGATATTAGCACCTTGACACACTCCAGTTTTTACGGGGGGTGGGGGGAGCCTGTACCCCTCAGGTCAGCACACGGTGACGCTCACATGATCAGCACTGCTGCCTCACCAGAAGGAGGTTCTGAGTTCGAGCCTCGGCCAGCCAGGACCTCTCTGTGAGGAGTCTGTGTTCTCACCGTGTTAATGCGGATTTTCTCCACGAATTCCAGTTTCCCTCACCCAGAGAAACATGCTCTACTGTAACACTCTTACCCCTGACTGAGGAGCTGGCTGTAGAAACGGAGTTGGTCCCCAGGGGGCGCTGCTCTGTGGCTGCCCACTGCCCCTAACTATAGGTTGGGCCAAATGCAGAGGACAAATTACCCCACGGGGTTCAATAAAAAGAGTATTTCTGGCACTGACAGAGGGATCTGGGCCCAGTCTCTTAACTGCAAGGCCAGACCTCACCGTCCCAGGGTTAGAATTTAAACACTTGCGAGGTTGGAACCCAACACCAAGATCAAATATTACTCCATGGACTGATTATTTCCACAGCGCCGGGCGGACTTTCTTACTGCAGGGTGTCCTGGCCCTCCTTTGTCCTGAATGTCCCCCCCGGTGTGGGACAACAGACCGCTGTAGCCTTGATCCAGCCCCACGCCTGCCTCACACCCACACCGAACCACACCCCGGAGCACCACCAGGCCTCTTACGGCTGATTATTTTCACCACTTTTATTTTCTATCAGCCATCTTCTTCCTTATCTGCACAACCCACAGAAGTCATGATGTCAGACTTCTGAACTTACATTCAGTTACCTTCGTCTTTACCAGTCAGTGGGGGATGGGCTCCCCAGAACAGGGGACTCGTCCCGAGATTAATTCCCTTTAGGGAGTTTTTCCCCTCATCATTGTACGAGGGTTTACCTCTGAGTCAGCACCACATTTGTGCTTTCGGCAATTCAGACAGGCTTCGGTCCGAACTCAGTAAAGAATCATTATGACACTCATTCTGCAAACGCGCAATACGATCGCTCTTGGCCCATAAGTGTGTATCCAGGTGCTTGTATTTTTCAGTCACCCCAGGCCTCGATCCTACAGTCAAAACTTATGTTCAAGGTCACTAATTGACATTTGATTAACATTCCCATTAGTTCCCGATGCCAACCTCAGCTGTAAGTGCAGTGTTACATCCTGTAATTGCAGGTACTTCACCAGTTACTGGTTAAACTGTAAATGAGGCTGGTAACTGACGTGCTTCACAGGACAGGTCCGCAGGGGAAGTGACTCGCTGGGCTGCTTCCCTCCACCACACTGGCACCATGAGCCCCACTACTGTAAACACAGGCAAACTGAAGCCGCCCAAACGCCGGGGTTCAGCGCTGTTTCACAGAGGAAACACGGCTCACATGAGGATGCAGGAGCAAACACGGAGAAGCCAAGCTTAAAATTTCAGGCAGAAATATATTTTTACAAACGGCTGGCTCTTCTCCACAGAGGGCCACAATAAACAACACATGGCAAACATTGATAGGTGAGAACGAGAAAGCTTTTTGGGAACACAAAGAAGAAAAACGTATGTTTGTACGGGGGCAGCTGGAGCCTATCCCAGCTGACTCTGGGCGAAAGGCAGGGACCCACCCGGGACAGCTCGCCAACCCATCACAGGGCGCCACACACCATTCACACATCATTCACTCTCATACTCATAACAATGGGCGATTTAGGGTCTCCAGTTAGTCTGACATGCATGAACTGCAGGAGACACCGGAGCAGCCGGAGGAAACACACACGAACATGGGGAGAACATGCAAACTCCACACAGAAAGGCCCCAGGCTGGACTTGAACCCACAACCTTCTTACTGTGAGGCGGCAGCGTTACCCACTGCGCCACCGAGCCGCCTTCGAGTAAATCCAAATGCATAATTCAAAATCATCTCACGCACAAATTGTTCACTTCCTTTTTCTGAAAAATTGATGAAGCCTACTTCAGCATCCAAAGCACCTTGCAGCACCATCACACACCATAAGTCGGTCGTCATTTAAAGAGACGCAATTATGCAAATGCCCTGTTCGCTTTCTTTCTTCTCATAATTTTATTATTTAAATACGTAGTACATTCATATTGTGAAAATAGTTACTTTTCATCCGCAAGCCGAGGAACATTTAAACATCATTTCCTTGAACGAATAATTAGATTGACACTATCCTCGACAAAGAGTTAGGATGACAGTTTTGTGATCAAAATATGAAGACATAACACCCTATTATCACCGTAGCCATAGAGACAGTGCAAACAGGTCCCGCCCACATAAAAGAAAAAACGAACCATGACCTTCCATTGAAGGCATTGTGTGACCGTGCCATCGTGTCTTTACAGTCAGTGAGCTGAAGGCACAGAAATGCCTGAACGTCGTTGTAAGGTGGAACTGACAACAAATAAGTAAAACTATAGAACATCCTCTGTTTTAAATCAGATTCCGAACCACAAAAGAAGAAAAGAAAATTCAATCAGACCAAGCAGACAGCAAATCGCATCATACTCTGATTGAAAATATGTGTGCAAGCAAAGATCACGAGCATCGCAAGCTAGATAGCAACTATTGAACTGCTATAATAACAGTTAGCGTACAATGGGTCTGTTACTTTAAAAATATATAGCTGTCAACTTTCATGTATTTGACATAAAACTCATGCATTTTGGCTCTGTCACAAGTCAGAACATGGAAACTTTTTCCAAAGACAGCACTGCACCTCGCGCCCAAAATCCAGTTTTTTCAGCAAGTTTGCATCAAGCAGCCCTTCAAAGTTGATAACTCAAGATCGTCAATATCCTTAATGACCATCCTCCTTTCCTTGTAGAGCACGGAGGAATGATCCACAAGCTAACAATTTGTTACCTTACAATAGCTAGCACGTCAACTACGACTCGTTACAGTTTCTCGTTTCTCCGAGGCCTTCGGCTCAAAGCGGTTTATCTCTCCTAGTTAGCACAGTTTTGTAGGCTGGAATCTCCATTAAAAAAAAAAAAATTGTGTTTTTAGATTATTTTACTTGTTCGCCTTGCACCCCATCACTCAACAACATTTCAGCATTTTTTGCCATAATTTATTACTTCCGCCAGCAAAGAGACAGGAGGGCGCCATGCAGGGGGAAATTTATTCTGTTGTCCCCCCACGTGGGCGTGGCTTTCAGAGTATGATGCAATGCGCTCATTCGCTCTGGAAGGGGAGGGGCGGAGCATGGAGGCAGTGGCGAGGAGGAGTTACACAGGGATGATCTGGGAGCAAGTGCAGCGCAGAGGGGGCTCAGATAAGGGTCTGCTGGGGGGGGCGAGCTCAACCATCCCCTTCAGCCCCCACCCCCCTCCCCCCCTTCGAGCTGGCGAGACACTCCACCGCAGCCGTGGCCGTAAATAATCCTCCCCTAAAACAGCCCCAGAAGAGACCAGCTGGACGAATAAAAGTCTTCATAGAGGAACACAGCTGACCATTACGGGCTACAAAGAGACAGCATCACAGGGTAGGAGTGCTTGAAGAACGTATGGCACCAGCCCCACGAGAAAAGCACCCGTGAACATCCACCAGCAAGAAAACTAAGACCATACATCTCGCCATACAGGGTCAGAGGCAAAACAAGGATACCATGCCCCGAACACCACAGGAGGTCAAAATCGAGTCCACTGAAGACAGACTTCAAAAGCAGATTGAGGATTCTGGCGTGCGCAGAATCCCACAATTTGTATGGTACCACTCTAGGATATGAACGGGCCTTTCATCGCGCCAGTGTACAGGGAAATGCGCATGCTCATGAAAATACTCACTAAAGGCAGGCGGAGTGCACGCCGAGCTTAAAATAGTAAGTAAAATTCCAACGTGGAAAAGGAGATGCGCGCACGGCTCATCTGGGAGGAGCAACAAAACACTGAAACCACTATTTTGCATAAATAAAACAACTAACAAGAAGGCGACACAGCAGCTATGCCTTTGGGAGCGGAGTGTACCGATACAAGCGCATTCCACTGAACACAGAGCCGGAGACTCTCTCCTCAGTAGTCTGAAAGCAACAGCACGTCCACAGCATACTTTCCGACTCCACGCGAAAGGATCGTATTAGTCACGTTGAAAAAACGCTCAATTTCCGTACAGTTCGCCAATCGACAAATATGGGTACTTAACTGGAATGTGAACACAAATGGCAAATACGGACTCAAATTTTATTTGTTTCAAAAACGAACTACGACTCAACATTCTTACCAGCAAAAGTTCATAACAACACAAGAACATGTACCACACCAGAGTATAATGAATTAGTCTAATTAAGTTTTTGAAAGCCAAACTGTCCTGCGTCATAACATTACATTTATGATCATCTTCCTATCTTATCCAAAAGGTAGAAAATCTCGCCAATCGTGTAATTAATAAACAATTATTCCACTAGAAATAAACAGCAAAGAGCCAATAAGAGTGAGTTTTGCTTAACTGCGAAGAAAAGCAGGTGTAGTTAACGGCTCCATACGCCAGAGAGCCCCATGACAAACTTCTGGCGAATTATAACTTTCATGACAGAGCCAAAGCTTTCATGCGTGACCAGAGAGGACGTGCGGGATCCGCACGCAGAGGATCGATGTCATACAGGACAGATCACTTTAGTCCAACTAGTTTATAGCTACTTACGATTTGTTCCTTTTTGCTCGGGTAAGCCGCTCGTCCACCTTTCACCGGCATCCTGCGCTTTCAAAGTGGTCAGATAGTTAAGGACAGGTCTAAACTATAAAACAACCAGCAGGACACAACGGAAAAAATACGACAATTGGAAGTCTTCAGCCTCGGGAATACACCATTGCTCACGTCGCAGGTCCAGTAACAGTAATGACGAAGTATCCGGACCTCGCAACCCACGTATTCTTCCTCGGCACCAGTATCACTGAAGTCTAGAGGAGCGGAACATTATTCCAGAAAGGCTACACGTATCGACCGGGCACAACCTACTTTCAGATTATTCCAATGTGAGGAACGTACTGTCATTCCAATTCAGCTAAAATAACGATCCATTAAATTTCAAAGTTCATTTCACCTCAAATTAAAGGTTTTAATTCATGGAATGGAGGATACGACGCAATTCCACCCATGTAAAAACGACCAATGCATAATTTAACATTTCAGGTTTTTATGCTCCCCTTTGAGCACGATGGTTTCCTCCGCCATGACGACCGTGACAAGGATGTGTCAAACTGTTGTCCCGAAAGTTCCACATCCACAATAAACAATCACAATGTTTGACCATACATACAGAAACTAATTTTTACAGTTCACACGGATACACTTGCGAGATTACATCACATTGTGTATTTCATTGTAATTCAGCGCATAGTCTGTAAAGTTGAATGTGGCTCATGAGTTACAGAAAAGAGAAGTTAATCAAGCATCATGACGATTTCTATCTATTAATTCCCTTTTTATTTTTTTAAATGCGAGTCCAAGATGCGCGGCTGCAACAGTATTTCCCCTGCGATTTTTTTCAGTGGCGGAACACGGTCAGGTTTCTCAGGGGTTCTCACCGGCGCAACTCAATGTTACAAGAGCTTGCGAATATTAACGTCCTGATAATAGACTGGTGTTGGGAATAAATGTATAGCGAGCTAATACTGGGATGGATATCAGCCAGTTACTAGTTTCAACAAAGCTAGTCTGAGCAAAATGACAAATCTAAGCAGAAACCACTTTTCCTCAACATTACTGAGTAACCTTTACCGGATGGCCAAAGATGGGTGAAATCTCTCATACGATGCCAGTTTAATTCCTAGCTTTACTGAAACACATACTGTAAGTGTCCCAAACGACTTCCAAACTGCTATGCCCTCAAAACATGTACCATCTACTGAGCATCCTGCCAACTACCCACTGTACCCAGTAGCAACAGTCAGTTGAGTACACTGAATGAAAAGGTTGTTAAGTAGGCCATACAAAATAGTTAGATTTGCTTGCAATCCCAGAATTGTACACATAGGCTACTGTATATCCATGGTTTGGCTACTAAATCCAGTGAAGAAAAATGACTTGAAGAGTTAAAATATACACCGAGCTTAAAAGCAGGAGCCAATAATTTTTAATGACAGTCGGAAAGATTATCAGTGAAGAGGAGGCTGCTTTCTTCTTATTCTTAAGATTATTATTTTTTCCCCAGCGTATAATGTGGAAAGAAAACTATCACGTTGCCCCTCTGTCTGTCCATCCATCAGCCTGTCTGTAAACTTGTTTTTGTTCGCAGCATAATTTTAAAACTGTTGGACATTTTTCCATAAAACTTTGCACACACAACAACCACATGCGGGAATAGAGCCTTTTGCCATTTCAAATTTTTGACATTTTTCAGGGGCCGAGGGGATATGTCATCTCCTGATGGTACTGGTTTCATGGGGAGGGACCTTACTGCACAGATGTTCAACTGCTAGACGGTCAGATGGTGCACTAAATATGCAGTAAATAAGTGCATGGCTGCACTCTGCAAAACTGCAGAAATGTGCAGAACATTGGGGAAATTTAATAGTGCACCTAATTATCAAAGTATGAGGCTCTGGTACGGACCCATATCAATAACCCTCGACCTCGAGGTACTGATGAATTTCCCATTGATGTCATGAAAAGAGACCAATCAGCAACCAAAGTTCATAGCCGAACAAGTAAGGCCTATTCCTAACCCTAAACCTAAGGAGACTAAGCGAGATTAAGGTGAGATGGGAGGCTGATTTTTCACCCTTGCCGCCTTAAAGCGATGTTTGGGCAGATGCCCCGAGCACCAGTGAAGATACAGAAAAGGAGACCTTTCTTGAGTGCCGTAAGTATCCCCACAGACTGCAATACAAAATCTACAGTAGTTGACAACAATGTTAAATGTGAG